CTCAAGAGGACAAGGTAGGGTTAGATAGAATCTCGGTTGTAAGGGATTCGTGATTCGGACATGATGCAACGGGGCCAAGCTTCAAAATTAGGGTAATGACTCTATATAAGAAAAGAGCAAGAGACAAAGAGAGGGTTCGATGGTGGCTGTGAAGAAGAAAGGAACATGAGAGGAAGAAGAGGGCAAAAACTGAGAATGCAGACTCTATGGTATATTTTACACAAAGAAAGAAAGTGAGGGGCGAAAACGGAGTGGGGCCTTGTGGACTGGTTTGGTATCAAGAAAATGAGCACGAGTAAGAAGATCTCGAGCATATTTTAACTGACTAATAAAGAGACCATCAGAAGTGAGTGAAGAGTCATAATGATAGATCCAGAGACAACGGTTTTGTTCACAGCACCACCATTGCTAGGAATGGAGGGTCGACAACAGAACAGTAGGCGGAGTCGGTGGAGAAGTAGCCGACACCATAGCAGGTGGTGAAGTACCAATGGACAGAGAGGGATGTTAGATAAAAGCTTGTAGTTTTCTTTATTTAGTTTTTAAACGTATTTACTCAAATTAGTTAGTTGAATATTTTCATTTGATCATTTGATATACACGCTTCAATGGATTACCTTGTTTTTTTTAGCAAAATCAAATCCTAAAGCTTTCGTTCTCTTCCTATTTATGTTATTTTTTTGAGTTTTTTTTTTCTTCCAACAAATTTTCTTCAGCTATTTCTCCTCCGTCAAACGATTTCCTCTCACAACGATTTTCTCAGTCAAAAGATATCAAGGAAGTCACGTCCCTCGGAGAAAAGGACGAAGATGGTGTTAAAGCCGGAAGAGTCGCTACAGTAATTTTCTCATATTACGAAGACGGTGTTAAAGACGGCTTTTGTTGCTCATATTACGAGGTAGATTCAATCGAAACCGAATGAAAATTTGAGAAAAAATGAGTTATTTTTATTATTATTATTTTAAATTTTAAATTTTAATGTTAAAAGCTATTGGAAACGGAAAGCATATATATACCCATTACACCGTACTTTAAAAATGTAATTTTCTCATCTAGTTTGGTGTAAATGAGACATGAAAGTTTCTCATGTTCTCATGTTCTTTGTTTCATCTTGATCGAGTGTGTGTGTTGTTATGTGATTCTAACAACCGGTATCAGAGCTAAGCGAAATTCGCCACGACCTGTGAAGATGGAAAGTTCAAAGATTGCAATTGAGAAGTTCGATGGATCCGATTTCGATTTCTGGAAGATGAAAATAAAGATTATTTGTATCAGAACGATCTTCACCAACCCCTATTGGAGTGAAGCCATATACCATGACCACGGAGCAATGGAAGCTCAAGGATTGACAGGCCTTAGGGTTGATTCGGTTGACGCTATCCAAAAACTTGGCATTCAACATAATCAAGGAGAAGACAATGTCAGATCTATTGAAGGTGTTGTACAATATCTATGAAAAATCGTCGACTATGAATAAGGTGTATCTATAAGTGGATATGTTGCTGATCATGTAAACGAATTCTATATGATTGTAAGTCAATTGAGTTAGGTGAAAATTAATTTTGAATATGAAATTAAAGCACTGATTTTGATGTCATCTTTATCTGACTCGTGAGATACTGTTAATGTCGTGATTAGCAGTTCTCGAGGATCTGAGAAGTTGAAATTCGATGAAGTTCGAGATTTAGTTCTCAACGAAAGTATTCGCAAATGAGAAATTGGAGATTCATCTGGTGGTGCTCTCAGTGTTGACCAAAGGGGAAGAAATAAATCGAAGGGTCCAAACAAATAACCGTAAAAAAAATTCAAACAGACCAGACATAATGTGTTAGAATTGTAGAAAAAAAGGTTGTTTTCGAACAGATTGTACAAGACCAAAGAGGAAGTAGAATCACAAATCAGAAGAGGATAATGATTCTATAAATTCAGCAAAAGACATTGAGAATGCTCTAATCCTCAGTGTGGACAGTTCGAGTTGAATCTTGAATTTTGGATTTAGGTGCATCTTTTCATTCGTCTCCAAATAAAGAGTTGTTCCAAAATTTCAAGAAGGCACATCTTGATAACAACAAAGCCTTGGAGATCTGAGAAAAGTGAGATGTCTGCATAAAAAACTCAGTAGAAAATCAGTGGACCTTAAAGGATGTCAGATATATTCCTAGTCTCAAGAAGAATCTGATCTCGGTTGGTCAGTTGGATAGCACAGGTTATGCAACAAAGTTTGAGAAGAGTTCGTGGAAGATTGTGAAGGGTGCTATGGTGATAGCACGTGGCATAAACTATGGAACCTTATACACCACTGCAGGGTGTATGAACATGGCTGCTGTTGGCGAGAGTGCTTCAAATTCAAGTTTGTGGCACAATAGACTTGGACATATGAGCGTCAACGAAATAAAGATGTTAACTACGAAAGAAGTTTTAGAAGGTCTGAAAATTTGTTGATATGAGTTCTTGTGAGAACTGTGTTATGAGCAAACAGAAACAAGTTATCTTCACAAAGATTGTCAAAGAATGTTAGATAAATATCTCAATTAATGAGGAATGAGATATATCTCGTCTTCATGCATACTCTCCCTCTCTATTTTTTCAATATATATACGCATTAGTCAATGTTTTTAAAATGTACTTTCTTCCATTCCTACTTCAATTTTATCTATCGCGTTTTTTGTGTTCATCTTGATCTAGCGTGTGCATTGTTGTGCGATCCTAACAATTTCTGTTTGTCGTTCTCTAAGATCCACACTTGGTAGTACTTTGGTCGTCAGTTCAACTTGGTGAAATACTTTTCCACACCTAATTGACCAAAAAGTTCACGAGGGTATGAGATGGCGTAGCGGTAAAAAACAGGATATGTGTCGGATTTCTCTTTCATTATTCTCAACGACAAATTGTCCCGGCTTTCTTTTCTTTCAAGAGATTCGATTAATTCTGTAGTATGAAGGTATCTTGGCTCACTTCTAATAGACTAGGATCGACTACTGTTGGGATGGGTCCGACAGGAAAAAAGCTAATCGACTTATATTAATAACTAAATTCTCACAAAACTCAAATATCAACTATTTATAAGTCATGACATATCATTAACATCGATTACAAACGTCAAATATTCTTAATGTTCATAAAAATTTTGAAAGTAAAGTTGGGTTGGGCTGGGTTGGATTGTTAACGTTATTTTCGGATTATTTGGATTAACCTAACCAAAAAACTCAAATTCATCATTGGCTCATACGTGAACATATTTTATATGTAACAATCCATGTTCAAAATTTGTTAAGGATCCAGAATTTGAATCTGACACTTGATGGCCCCAACATTTCCCTACATTCCCTACGACATAGTCATGTTACTTACTTCTTGTTTCTAAGAGTAAGGACTATCCACACAGACTAACATGAGTTCTTCCAATATGTTTCGTTTTCAATCGCATGCATTTTAAAAAAATTCTTAAGAGGTCACCCAACATAGAATTGTTCCAATCAAAGCACATCTAATCATCGTTCATGGTTGCTTCCCCAACCATCACAGCCTCCGCTAGTCATCGAAGAGTTTCTCAACTCCATCATAAGCCAAAGGGTTTCGATGGTCGTTTCCTCATTAAAATTCCAAAATTCATAGTTCAAATTCGCATTTTGGAAAAACGTAAATGACTTAGTTTTTAATCATTTGCACCGTAAGTTTGATTTTACTTGAGATTCTTCACTCTGAGCAACTCTGGCATGTTTGTAAATTTAACCCTTGTTGGGGTCTTGGTGAGAATATCGGCACATTGTTCTCTGGTATCAACTTTGATTGGTCTCTGATCAACTTCATCTTCTTCATAAGAAGTTTCAATTTTGTAACATGCAATTTCATCCACTCCTCTTCCGAGCGGGAACTTCATCATCAGACTTGCATGTAGAAACTTCATCATCTCTTTTGACTCACAATGTATCATTAAACTCCCACATTGGCTAATTAAGGAAAAAATCATAGGTAATATAAGTGAAGGACGGGTATAAAAGTGATGGACACTATTTCCATTGATATTAGGCATTTTGGGGAAACCAAAAGTTAAACCATGAGAGTTTATGCTCAAAGTGAACAATATCATATTAATGTGGAGGGTCGTTCCTAACATGGTGTCAAAACCATGCCCTAATCTTAACTTGTTGTGGTAATGTCTCAGCCTATGATGTCGTCATTCATTGCGTAAACAAAGCAAGGTACTTGAGTCTAAGGACAAAAGGTTGAGTAACCTACATATACCCAAAGGGTAAAGAGTCAGACTAGGAACGGGTCAAAACTTTGAGGCCTTCTCAGAGGCTCAGATAGCCATAGAGATTAGGCTCGAACTTCCGAGAACCTAAAGAAAAGACTTGGGTAATCTAATTGGATAAAGATGCAACAATGACATATAATTAAGTTGTTTACTAAGTATTTTTATACTCACTACATTCTTTGTTTTTAGGTGACTGCTAACCACCAGACAATGGAGAAAGTTCTCGGGAGATGCATAATTATAAAGGGAGTCGTCCCCTTTTATGTCGTGTTTGAAATTTTATCCCAAACACATTCTTCGTTAGTAATAAATTCGAAGATCACTGACTCGTGATTGGATTTATTTATATCAAATAGAGATCAGAGAATATAATATTATCCGACCCTATTTATCAAATGGAGAAAAAATGTTCCCCACTCTCTTCCCATCCCCATTCCCATCTAAACAAGAAAGAACCCCACAGGTCCTCGACTCATAAAATGTGCATCTCCAAAATATTTAATGCAAAACTCAATAACATCTCATGGTTTAATTTAGGTAATCGATCAAATTTTGAGTCACCCTAAAGTAGGTCTCCAAAAAATGGAACACAAGAACAGTATGAACAAGCGAAATGAAATTTTGCATAAACACTCAATACTTGCATCATCATCACCACCAATCATCAAAGCTTCAATGCCACGAGGGAAAACAGAATACTAAAATGCAGAGTCCTAAAAATTCAGTATGAACTTGAAGCAAATGCTAAATTTGGGAGAACTTTGATTGTGAATTGAGGTGAAAATTATGGAGGTTCATTTGGAATTTTGATAATGGCAATGAATCTATTTAGAAAAAAGAGAGAGAAGCAGAGCAGGAGGAGGAGGAAGAAAAGAGGGGGATAGATTTTCTGGCTACCACTCCTTGTCTTGCAATCTCTGAGGGTTTAAATACAAGGCTAACAAAAAGTAATCATTCCAATTTCGACTCGATTTCTGTCATCATTCCTTAATCACTTTCCTCAACATTTCAGGGACTGCACAGGTTCTTAAGATCCTCCTCTTTCGCATACCAACCCGGTATTATCTTCGACACGTGCGGATACAGATCTTTATATGAATTTCTGATCGTCCCTTCTGCAACACCCGTAGCTACTGATATATCTGCGCTTAAATCAGATCCACATATTTAATACATAATACACTTGATCAAATTGCACATCAAGACTAACAAAAATAATGCTCGGGAGTAGAGGTCTAGTTTAAAGATGTTCATGGGACAGGGCAGAAACAGGACGACCTTATCATAACTATATTAAACAGGGCAGGAGCGGGAAATATAATCCCATAGCCCCATTTATCTAACGGAGAAAAAAGCTCCCAATTCTCTCCCCATTCCCCATCTAAATGAGGAATCGTTCGGAGCAAGTCACCGTGGTTAAAATGGACATCTCTGGTTGGAAAACCAAAAATTCCAGAAACAGTTAACGGAATCACTAACAAACATGATTTTGCAGATAAGAATAACGTGAATCATCTCAGATTATGATCATACTTCTAAACTTAAATGATGAAGCGAAGCTTATTGGCAGCTAACATTACCTTTCAGAGGCTTCTTATCATCTGAAAGCTGAGTGATAATGTAAATAACTGCGGCTGCAATGGAAATAGGGCTCCTCCTGAAAAGTGAGAAGAAAATACTCTCAAGCAAAAAGTCAACCAGAATAAATTCCAGTCCAAAGAAAAAATAGGGCTCCTCCTGAAAAGAGTCTGGGAAGAATGAATTACAGTATAGGATGAAAAAAATACAGTTGACTAACAGTAGTTTTTTTGTTTTCTATCTTCATAAAAAAACATCCTATTTTTTTAACTCGACAAAAGTGGGGGTGGACCTCAAGCACAGAATGAAGTGGTTACGAGGATAGGCAAAGCTTCATATGTAACAGCCCAAACCCATTGCTAGCCGATACTATCCATTTTGGCCTATTAACGTGTCTAAGGGAAAGGTTTCCACACCCTTATAAGGAATGTTTCGTTTCTCTCTCCAACCCATGTGGTATCTCCGTTCATATTGATAGGGGAAAGAAGCCATTAATCGTGAATAATGAATAGGATAAAAATATATAATTGTCGGCTTATGGATAAGAAATTTTCAATTCTAAGTCGGAGAACAAAGAAATCAACCAGTGGATACCAATACTGCGGTGGGGCAGCATGGAAAGCAAGCACATATTAAACTGTAACATTCAACCATATGCCCGTAGTCAAGGATATGGTCAGCTACTACTGACAGACCAGAAGAGGGATGCTTTCAGGATGGATTTTGTCGAACAGAAACGCTTACAGATTACATCACAACAACCAGAGGAAACGAATTTTACCTAATATCAAACTCTTCAGATTTCTGTACAGCTTCTTGGGCAGCTTTAACAGCTTGATTATTCATCCCAAGATTAGAACAAAAACGCCTCTATATTCATTCGGAAAAAAAAATTGACGTCAGAAAAAAACGACATATTGTCCATGATCAAAGTTCAAAAAATCAAAACGACTTCTTTCACCAAAAAACTCACCATGAAGTCTCCGGCGTGTATCGTTCCCATCTCCACAGACTGACCTGTCTCCAACCCCAACTGTTTCACAATGTATTCTTTTGCTCGGCCAATCTCCTTCTTTGTTGCCCCATTGGCAACGGAGCAAATTTCTACTCGAAATCAGCATGATTAGGTAAGAATAGAAATTAAACTACAAATGTTCCAGATATTAAATGATATGTAAGAAAATACCCTTGACCGTGCGGGGTTTATCTTCTTGTCGACAAGCAATGTATAAGCAAGCAGCCAATAAAGCATCTTGATTTCTTCCTCTACTAGATTTTTGATCTTCTACTCTTTTATATATTTCATTGGCCCGATCCTATATATAATTAATATATTTGAAACTCATTGAAGATAAACATTTACAAAATATCAAAGGTCACTATCTAGAGAAATGAACGACACTCAAAAGAAAAATCTAAAACCAAGGTGATCTTCAAATCATATACTACAGGATATATTGAATAACCTCTTTTAATAGGAAACAAATTTTTTTAATGAAAAACTATTTATTCACGGACAGAACACAGGTATATACAGCTGGGCAATGCCCACAAAAAAATGTTTGAGACAATAAAGAGCCAAGAAAAAGTGGCAAAAGCCTCTACAAATACGTCTTTAGCAACGATACCAAGTACAATTGCAACAGATAACAATTACAAAATATTTTTGTCATAGACACCCAAGAAGATATAATGTTTGCACAAAATCTACAACAGACGATTCTTTATCACAGCTATAGTGTGTTTTTAAAGAATTCTTCAAAGTTATAAATGAATTCACTCCCACCCACTATCCAACTTCCTTATTCTGTATCCTCATTATTCTCCTGTTAATGCTCCACAAATTCCTCTCCCATTTTCTGTTTTCAACCCCCTCAACAGCATTTTAGACCCTTTAATATGCATTTTGTTACTACAGAAATGAAGCTCAAAACAAAATTTTAGTCATGACACTAAAAGAATAAACCACTGTCCTAAGTGAATCAACTATTGAGTCTAAGCAAGCACGTTCTTGGTTAGAAATAGGGAAGGGCTTTAGAAATTATACAATTTTCTGTTTCTCTGCAAAACTTGGTTACTTTCTATTCTATGCTTCTATCTCACAATTCATAAGGACTTCAATCTTATTTTCAGGGCTTGCACTTCTTTGATAATATGTGTAATTACTCTTTTCTTCAAATTTATGCCAATAGGAAAGCGTTTTTGTAGCCCCTTAGCTAAGTGGGAAACCTCATCTCCCACCCTTTGTAACCTCCTTTTTTATAAGGAAAGCCATGTTTACTATCTATATATGTGTCCATGGTACGCATCCAACAATTCCAAATTGACCCATGCATTGTGCATCGCTTCCCGATTAAACGTTTAACAAGAACTATGAAACATACATTACTCCAACCTTGAGAATACTGAAAGATAATTCTATACTGACAAACCTGAACGCTTTGAGAAACTACAAGAAATAGAAACTTGTGGTATTATGTCATAATGGATGGAAAACTGCATATACCTTTATGGTTGCAACAAGGCCCAACCTGAAACACAATAAAGCTGCATTAGTTATCTATGGTCTTTCTAAATGTGGCACTTCTTAAAAATAGTCTCAAAAGTAACCGCAGCAAAATCATAGTAGCCATGGGACTCAACAAAATCTTCCAAAGATATTGAAACTCATAACTTCATTAAACATTATAAATCAATCTCAAATCAACTCAAAGTTGGGACGCTTAGAACATGCAGCCGAACAAAAATTCTAATCAGTACAAGAACACCACAAACTGAACGAAAATACGAAGAAAAAAAAACACTAGATGGAAGGAGTAAACATTAAGTTTATTCACTATTGAAAACCCAATTAGAGAAGTGGCTCCACCCAAAATGAATACAAAAAAGACCTTGAAACTCGAAAGCAACAAGCTATATCGACCTAATTGAGCTCTGACTTAAGATATTCCACTCCATCTACAAAGTTGCTTGCCAGGAAATTGAAGAAAGAAAGCAAAAGCTACAAGAAAGTTTTCCAGACGTGAAGAACCATTTTACAAAATTCAGCTCAATCACAAAGCGGCGCATCTATACAGTAAAGGGATAGGTTTCAATTCAATATTCTCCCCGCAAAAGAAATACCCAGATCGAGTTTTCATTCATAGGACTTCTTAGCTCAACATATAAGTTCCTAACTTCTGATAAGTGAATCCGTAAACAAGGTAAGATCACTTGTCCTCGACTGATTTTTCAAAGAAAGAAAGAAACGCTTCCCCTAAATTACAGAAAATTCGCCAACTAGTTCCTGCTGCATAACCCGAATCCTAAACAATCTGTTCCCAAAATATGTATCCATCATTAAAATTTTCCCACGAACATAAAAATCCTCAAACTAGTCAGATTTCCCAATTCCCACCCCGCCATAATCCCAATTCGATCTGTTAAACGGCACAAGGCTAAGGAAACGAAATCAAGATCCAGAGAAATCCAACAAATTCCACTCTTCCTCAGCATCCAAACCACCACCAAGACAGCCAACCCCCTTACCTATCAGACATAGTAGCAATGGTCTTGAAAGCAAGAATCAGCCCTCGATCTGGATTAGACCCACGATTCTGCCACCGACCCAAAGACGACGACAAGAACTCCCCAGACGTACCATTAGGCTTGGCAATCACGGTCGAGAGGCCACCATCAGCCAAAAGCGGATTCGTCGGTCCACCAACACGAACCGGGTCGTTATCCCCAGACTCGTTGGCAAAAGTCCTCCACTCGGAGGTCTCATCGATGGAGTGCGACTCAAGCACAAGGCCGCACTCGGAACACACCGTGTCTCCGGCGGAATGGTCGAAAACAACCTCCGTCTGACGCTTACAGTCAGAGCAGAACGCATCGGACATTGTTCAAAACCTCCTCCTCCTCCTCCTCCTGTTCTAACCCTAGAAAACCTCACCGATCGGAATTGGGGGAACCGAAGCGAGAGGAATCTTCGTTCCGGCAGAACTTGGGACTTGAATCCTTCAGATTCTTCCTCCGGAGAGGCGTCGGCAATGGATTTCGACGATGGAGGAGAATTGAAAGGGAGAGTTGGATGGGAAGACGAAGAAGAGGGTATTTATAGAGAGAGATTTTGGCGTTTGGTTTTGGTGATTTTGGGGAATTAGGAAAGTCATGGAAGTTTCGTGGATGAGAGAGCTTAATTGGGCGAATAGGAATAGGGTTTGCCTTTCTTCTGAGTTGGTTTTCGCCCACTTTTTGTTATTTAAATATAATCTATATAATTAAATTAAAATTAATCCATTTTATTTTACTCTTAATTTTAAAATATACCTCTTTAAAATAATTTTTATTTATTTTTAACCTAATTTTTACCGACTCGATTTTAATTTTGAGTGAGTTATGAACTTCTACCGGTGACTGTTTGTTCTCTTATTTGTATGGGTGAGAATTACTTTTGTAATCGATTTAATATGTCAGTGTCCTATAATTATAAAACTTTTTATAATAAATAGAAGATGATAATTACTAAAACAAAGTGGTTTTCCAGTGGTTCCGTCAAACTTCACCTACTCTACTTCCAAGCGCCTCTTGGAATTTGAAAAAAGAACCTTCTCGACTCTTTACACAGATCAGAGTCCAACAGCTACACATCTCTCTTTACGAGTTCAAGAGCAAACTCAATCGTTTCCACGGCTCATGATCAGTACAAGTATTTGAATTTGGTATGAACACCACAACTCTCTGAGTAGATTTACAATTGGGAGCATTTACGATTGTTTCCTCTCAAGAATAAGATTGTTAAACGTAGAGTAGATCATATTTGTGTATAGTAAGATAATCTAGTGATTTACTGGTTTGTTACCAAATCTATGATTTAGAATGTAATCTTCATTATACACATCTATAAATACATGAGGTGGTGATCCTAGGTCAGGTCATCTATAAATACATGAGGTCGTGACCCTAGGTCAAGTCATTGAGCCATTCAACCTAACATGGTATCAGAGTCATGCCCCTAAACTTAGTCGTGTCAATAGATTGGCAAATCCTCGAATGTCGAACAAAGGATTCTAAAAAGAAAAAAGGAGTAAAAAATGACTAAGATTCCAAATGAGTCGAGCCTCGATTAAGGGTGCTTTGTTCTAGGGGAGGTGTTGGATGATGAAAGTCTCACATAGTCCAATAAAGATAAGAGAAATAAAATTGGAGAGAGCAACGAACCATGGAGTCGTTGAAATAAAATTATAAGTGTCATACTTTGATATATTTTGATTTGTCCATCATTTTGATTTAGCTATCACATCATCACGTCGGGTATCTTGTCTCGACTATAATTTCTTCGTTTAGCACTGATTTAAGTGATTGAAAAGTCGTTGAAATCGTTTTTCTCAACCTTATACTGTGCATAATTCAAAATACTGAATTAATAATTAAGAGTAGATTTGTTATTATCGAAAGAACAATTAATTAATTATGAAATTAAGGGCCAAAAAAACACGTACCATTTTGAGGACTTACTAAATGGAGAGCTTATAGCATAATTTTCACAAGTTCGAATTCACTTCTTCCCATATAGAGTAAGTGTGAATGTTTGAATGTTGAATGTTGAGTGTTGAAACAAACAAATTGCTCTCCATGCCAAATATTTGGGGTTGAATGTTGAGGAGGTTTCTGGTTCAAAGCGAGGTGGTGGAATCATAGTTCCATCGACATAGCCCAGCATGTCTTGACTTTCAAGGAGAGGGAGAAGTTGGCTTTTCCAAAGAAGATAATTGGAGGAAGAAAGTTTGATGGTGATCATATGGATTATAGTATTGAAAGGAAGAAGATGATAACAAGATTCGGAAGCCATAGAGAAGAAAGGATCAGGGTTGTTAAACCGAAAGGGCTCTGATACCATGTGAATGTTTGATTAATCCACCACACCTAAATGGTGGTGGGAGTTCTCTTATTTATAATCATTTACAGAATACAGAAATAAGGTAAATTACAAATAATAAGGAAATAGCGATAAAAGGAAAGAATAATAAATGAATACAATATATTTGCATTTAGTAAAATGGCAAATATGGTAACCCGTAATGTAAGGCAAATATCTAGATATTTGCCTTATAATGAATGGTCAACTATCCTTAACAGTAAGTAAATGAGTAATTTCAAGTGTTGATTAACTTAATTTAACTTAAAGTAAAATGTCTTATACTAACCTATATGTTGTTAAGTGGAAATACAACTAACCTATACTAACTTACCGTCAACTAAATTCAAATTACGAAATTACCCTAAGCATGTGTCACGGTCTCCTAGTTACGATACCATCGTCAACCATACAGGTGAGTCTTGCCTTTATCTGAAAAATGAAAGTAGCACATAGTTTGAATATTTTTAGTAGAATGTACTATAGAGAACTAGTTGTTAAAGTTTCTTATTCCAGCTTGTAATAGTTCAAGCCCACGGCTAATAGATATTGTTCGCTTTGGCGTTACGTATCATTGTCAGCCTCGGTTTTAAAATGTGTAGGGAGAGGTTTCCACACCTTTGTAAGAATATTTCATTTCTATCTCCAATCAATGTGAGATCTCACAATCCACCCCCCTTGGAGGCCCAGCGTCCTCGTTGGTACACCGCCTGGTATCTAGCTCTAATATCATTTGTAACAATTTAAGCCCACCACTAGTAGATATTGTATAGCCTTCAGTCTCACAATTTTAGAATACGTCTAGTAGGGAGAGACCTACACACTCTTATAAAAAAAATACTTCATTTTCTTCTCTAACCAATGTGGAATCTCACAATCCACCCCCTTTGACCCAGCGTCCCCACTGACACACCACTCGGTGTCTAGCTCTAATACCATTTATAACGACCAAACCCCACCACTAGTAGATTTTGTCCACTTTGGCTCATTACGTATCGTTGTCAGCCTCATAGTTTTAAAACGCATCTACTAGAGAAAGGTTTTCACACTCTTATAAGGAATGTTTTGTTAACCCAGCTTCCTCGTTGGTACATCGCCTGATGTCTGGCTCGATACTATTTGTAACAGTCCAAGCCCACTGCTAGCAAGTATTGCCCGCTTTGGCCCTATAGTATTGCCATCAGCCTAGTGGTTTTAAAACGCGTCTATTAGGGAGAGGTTTCCACACCCTTATAAAAAAAATGTTTCGTTATGCTCTTCAATCAATGTGGGATCTCACACGGCTATATACTATCAATCTTGTTGTTGCCCATTATTGATTGCTAGCATGTAACATTTTCTTTCTTAATATGTTTTTAAATCGTTTGGTAAGAACGGGGATGGAGATTGTGAAATAGGCTCTTTGAGCCAATGGTGATCTAAGTATGAGGCTGTTGAATTACTCAAGGTCGAGAGTAAGTGTTACAAAATCGTTTTGCAAGCCTAATATGTGATTATGACAGTTGATATTAGAGTCGGTTTGGCTTCTAAAGTTGGAATCAGTAATCATGTTCGAGCTCCGTGTTGTCATACTGATTGAGATTGAAGAGCGAATGCTCTAATTAAAAGAAATACAATGTCTTTTGGGGAGAATCCTACCTCGATCTCTACAAAAATAACTGAAATTTTCCACAGAGATTGAGAATAAAAAAATATCTGCAAGGATGAAAGAGAAGGCTTCAATATTTAATTCGGATACGAACGATTAAGGGTGTACGTGAGTGAGTTTACGTCGGGTTAGGACATTTTTTAGACTTATTTTTTATTAGGTTGATTATTATTTCCATCATTATTCAAATTCTTGTTTTTAATAAAAATAAAAGTTTAATGGGCAAAATAAAATATATTTATTTAAGATTTTTTATTCAACTTCAAAATTAAAATTATTTAAAAAGTTATTGAAAAATAAATAATCTTAAATAAAAATAGGCTAAATAAATAAAAATACCTCCTAAATTTTCAAAAACTTTAAAAAAAAAAAAAAAAAAATCAAAATACCCTTACCAGTAATTTTGAATGGAAACCGTTAATACCCTTTTAACTTTTAAAAGTATTACAAAAATACCCTTGAATGCTTTTAGTTTTTAAAAAACGTTCATAACATGCGTATAGTTGCGGTCCAAAGTTGAGCCGTTACATGTTTCAACATAAAACGACACGACTCAGTGTACTAAAAATGTTTTCTACCATTACAAATGGGGAGGAAAATGACAAAATCACGTAGAATTTTATAGCCTAATGAACCAAGACATAAATCATGCAAGATAAACTTTAAGGAAGAAAATGTTGTTCAAATTATCACAAGATGTTCAAATTCTCGAATGGTTATAAATTTTGTGTGGATGATAATCTAGAGTTATGGTGTTTTTTTTCATTTATTTTAAATTAACTTTACCACTACTGTGCGGCTAGAGCGTGATTAGTGACTTATGATCTCTTGGTTCTGCTTATGTGGATGATTGTTCTCTGGTAGGTTCGCCTTACTTGGCGGTTTGAGAGACTTATAAACTTTTATTGTGAGATCCGACATCGGTTGAAGAGGGGAACAAAACATTCAATACAAGGGTATAAAAATCTCTTCCTAGTAGACGCGTTTTAAAACCATAAGCCTAATGGCAATACGTAAAGGGCCAAAGCGGACAATATATACTAGTGGTGAGCTTGGGTTGTTACAAATAGTATCAGAGTCAATCATCGGACGGTGCAAGACACTAGTTGGAGGGCTAGACCCTCTCCATAGTAGACGAGTTTTAAAAACTTTGAGGGAAATCCCAAAAGGAAAAGCCTAAAGAACACAATAAAGAATGCTTTGTTATAGTATACTCTCTCCATACTAGCGATGAGCTTGAGCTGTTATAGTAGGAAGGTTACCACTCTTGAAATGTCTCTGCAAAGGTTAAGGGTTGTCATTTTGAAGCTATATACAGGCATGTATGTTATCTTTGTAAAATTGATTTAAAAATACAGTAAAAATAGCATTTATACCTTCTTTTAGCCAATTGCTAAGTATTTTTTAATTTTTGTAGTTTAGATTGCATGTCTAGAATCATTCAAGTTTGACATGATCAATATTGCTAGTGGAGTGATTCAAATCTCAAACAAGTATTCTTGTCTTGAGATATTCGATCAACAAGATAATCTAAATTTTACTTTTCCTTCGAGTGATAGTTTATCATTAATGCTAAGTTTCTTTGCAATTTTATATAGTTTAGATTGCATGTTTAGAATTATTCCAGCTT